TGCTCAGGTTTCACAACATCCTCAAGCTTGGCAAACTCTGCTTCCGTTTCTTCTAAATTAATGTAATTCTTGCATCTTTTGAGCACCTCATCGTAAGTTCGAGCAGGCGTCTTCGCCAGCGACGTTCGATATGGTCCTGGCCGTAGACTCCTAATCAATCCTCCTGCTTTCACCTCGTCGCCCGCCGTGGGCACCTCTAGACACTTCTGATTGTATCGAGCAACATATTTCCGTAAGGATTCTTAATCGCCTTGTCGCATTGCCATCAGTGTAAGGTATGTCTTCTCCTGGGCGACCGCACTTCAGTATTGATTAGTAAGTTGTCCTGTGAAATCCTCAAAGTCTCTGATCGAACCTGGAGCTAGTTGGTGGAACCAGTCGAGCGCGCCTCCGCGTAAGGTCGACAGGAAGGCCCTGCAGCTGACCGGATCCGAATACCCGTGCAAGACGGACATGTTTTCGAATGCTCTCACGTGCCTCGACGGGTCGCTCGATCCATCAAAAATCAAGTTTATCTCCTGGAAACTCGCAGGTAGCGGCGCAGCTAAGATTTCCCTCGAGAATGGGTGTCCTCGAGCACGTCTTTCCGGCCTTCCATCCACCTTCTCCTGCAACTGCCGAAGTTGCTCGGCCATCCTCTCCATCGCTCTATCTCTGTACTCTCCTCCTCCGCTGTAACTCGACACGTCCTCTTCTTGTGTCCCCTGCACCGTTGTTGGCGCGGTAGCAGCCTGGGATGTCTGGTGAGTGGCTTGTTGCACAGCCTGTGCTGCCGCGTCGGCCACCATCCTCTGCACTTCTTCTCTCGTCATGGCCACTACTTGCTGAGCGGGGGGTTGGGGTGCTCCTCCTGTTGGCAGCATCATGGTCTGTGCTGTTGGCCCTACCTGCTGCGTCACGACTGGACCCGCTTGCAACGGAGTGAGGACTGCTGCTGATACCACCTCACGAGTTTCGTGCTCTTTGCTCGTGCCTGCTCCTCCACCCAAGATCGCTGTACCCTGGGGCATCGGCGTCGGGGTCACCAGTGTTTGTGAGGGTCCGGAGAATCCGGGTGGAGGTCCTGCTCCCATCGGTCTTGTCGTCGTCCACGCCTCATCAAATGAAGACTACAAATTCACTCGAGGAACTCCGTCCGCCATAGCTGAGCTCAGAACACAACTTTTTGAACAAGAGTCCCCACAGACGTCGCCAATAATACAAGTCTCGCACCCTGACTAGCTGGAAATCGCCCTAAGCTTGCTCTCCTCGCCGGTTGAACTCGGAACCTGCACGAAACTCCCACACCGGAGGTGTTTTCCGGTGAAGAGCCTCCAAC